ACTGAAGTAGTAGCAGTCCTCAAAATGGAAGAGATGAAAAGGACCGAGGAGACGTTTTTTATTAAATGAAGGGTAGTAGAGCCCCAAAAGGCAAAACATGCAAGATTAGCCCCTCAACTCGTCGAACAGTGGCAAATTACCTCCTTAACTCAGTTCACGTGCAAACTAACCCCTTAACTCAGTTCACGTGCAAACTAACCCCTCAACTCATCTGCAGTGACAAATCAGCCCCTCTGTTAAGGTTAACATCATCAATCCGTTAGGTTTTAACGTTCTGCTCTTAAGCCCCTCCTCTCGTTTGACGTGGCTTGTTTGTGCAAACTAACCCCTCCACTCATCTGCAGTGGCAAATCAGCCCCTCTGTTAAGGTTAACATCATCAATCCGTTAAGTTTTAACGTTCTGCTCTTAAGCCCCTCCTCTCGTTTGACGTGGCTTGTTTTTGCTGAGATGGATGCACCACCTGGACAAATGTCAGCCGACTCATCAGATCAGAGTAATTTACTTTTATGCCCTTAAATTGTTTGGTCAAATATAATTGGGAATCTAGGTTTTATTGCAGCTTTTATCGTCTTCTTCTTATCTTTTGCCCTTTCTTTCTCCTCTTTCAAACGGCGTCACCGGCTGCACCTCCATCTCCACCTCATCGGCGACGGCGGCGGCTAGAGCGGCTTTAGTTAAAACCGTCGCCACCAAAGCGTCTCTTAAAGAAACCGTCCTGCTCCTGCTCTTGGCTTCACTTTCCGCAGAATACTCGCTGCCCTCTGCCCCTTCTTTCCCCTCTTCCTTTATCATGTACAGAAGCCAGGAGGGACCGTACGCCGCCTGCCACTTCTCCACGTTATCATCCGCGGGGGCCTCCGAGTCTCGCGCAACATTTGACAAAACTGGCGGGACACTAGCGGGCTCCACCCGTGACTGGTTCTTCCAGCAGAAAAAGTAGAGTAGCTCCTTTGAAGGAGTGTAGAACCGGGCCCCAGACATCTCCGACTGCAGTGGCGGAGGAAGGGGGGTGCGGGGGCGCTAGGCCCCTGAAATTTGAAAATTTTTGTAAATTAATATATAAAAAATTATCTCACCTCCCTAAAATTTAAAAATTTTGTAAATTAGTATATAAAAAATTATCTCGTCCTCCTGAAAAAAAATTCTGACTCCGTCCTTGTCTCCGAGTCCCCACTAGCAATGACGCTCCGGCGCCGGAACCTCCTACGCAGCCAGAGAACATAAACGAGCTCCACCATGAGAGCGAAAACACACAAGACGAAGAGTATCGTGAGTACAGCTCCAAGCTTGTTTAAACCATTCATGATATTGTGGGTATGGATGAGGGAATTAGGAAGAAAGGAAAGAGTTCTATTGTGGGGCGGGGGTGGGATGATGGGATTTTTTCTTGGAAATGAAGGAGAAAAAGGAAGGGTAAAAGGAGAGTAGAGATGACGTGGACATCGAGGGAGGGGTGACATGGACTTTACCTTCTTTTTTTGGTGAAAACTTTACCTTTTAATTTTCAATTAGTTAGGCGGATGACAAGTTATTGTCTAACTCTACTGTTCACTAGTTTTGGAGTATAACGCCATTTCCTTGATAATATCCGTGGTTGTGTTTTTGATTTTATCTGTATATTTTAAGGATTTTAATATAATTTGTGTTTTTAGTTAAAAAAATTATAACAAAATAAATAATTACAATTGAAAACAAAATAAAAATTAATTAAAAATAAAAAAAATATTTTATATGATAAATTGTATATTAAAAATGTAATTTACTATAGAAATTTATTAAAATATTATTAATAAAATTATTTTTTATTATTTTATTTAAAAACATTTTAATGAATTTATAAAATAAACTATATTTATAATACATAGTTTACACTTTATTACTATTACATGAATCTTTAAACAAAATATTTTTGAAAAACAAAAGAATTTAAGGGTATAAAAGTAAATTAATCTGCTACGATGAGTCTGCTGACATTTGTCCTGGTGGCGCATCCATCTCAGCAAAAACAAGCCACATCAGACACAGAGAGGAGCTTAAGAGCAGAAGATTAAAACTTAACAGATGGATGCCGTTAACCTTAATAGAGGGGCTGATTTGCCACTACAGACAAATTTAGGGGTTAGTATGCGCGTGAACTGAGTTGAAGGGGTGATTTGCATGTTTTGCCGCCCAAAAGGTAGAGCAATAAAAAAACAAAGGAAAAAAAGGGGAAATAGTAAAAAATTTTAAATTTCAGAAATACTTTATAACCTATAACTTCTTATCGGTGAATGGAAAAGGAAAAGTGTTAGGGCCTGTTTGGTGTGGATTATTGGAGCTTCAGCTTTTGGATACTATTCATGTCTCATGCATTTAAATTTCCCTCTTAAAAATTTACACTTTAAAATATTTTTTTAACCTCAAAAAGCTCTTAAACAGTAAAAGCTCAAAAGTTTCAAATCCAAACTTTTCATAAACTCTCTTTTTACTTACTTTTCACTTACTTTTTCACCTTTCTAAAAGCTAAAA